AAAAGTACAACATGTATAACTACAGCAGCAAGATTAAACAGTATAGCTATAGCAACAGAACAGTAGTACATAGTATAGCTATAGTAAGAGTAGTAGAATAGTATAACCATCAGAGCAACCGTATAAAATAGAGGAAAAAGCTCAGACTTCTTCAGGCGAGTGCAGAGTCCTGGCCCGGGAGGGCGCACTCTGCTGGCCATGAGGACCCCTCCGGGCCTTGGCAGAGTGGGCAGATCCGGTTCTTTGGGATGTCTCGGATCGGATGCAAAAATACGAGGAACAGGGTTATGTTTGGGGGTAGATCCGTCGTGATATAGGTATGCAGGATGAGAATTAGGCAGGACAGCAATACGGCAGACAGCCTCAATTCTTGACACTTGGTAGCCTCGCCACATCACATGTGTAGAGTAGGCTCCGTATCGCTGGATGCTGACCGTCGCCTTGCTCGCATGACTATGCCCGGTTTCAATTTTGACCTATTGGGCCTGTATCGTATCGAAGCTTCACGGCGGCCGATCTTTCCGGGACTGTTCTGTCGCAACTTGCATAAGAGTACAGCAAAGAGCCAGGCAGCCCAAAAACAAATGAGCACCCGTTGAAAAGCACGACACCGCACACGCCTGAGACCCCGTGCTCCACTGCTCGAATGTCCTGCGTGCCAGGAAGAAGGGATGCTGCAGCAGCGACCTGAGCTCCAACGAATATGCAAGCTGATGGACTGTACTGGGAGGTTCATGGGAAGTTATAAATGGGGTTATAAGTAGGGTAACTATACTTATAACCCATGTTAGGGGACTTATAACTTATAACCCCACTTCTAACTACCCATGAACCTCCAAGTAGAGCTTGCTAAATTTCGCCGATTCTGTGCTGCCCAAGCCACGCAGTCGCCGTGTGTGACCACCAGGAAATTTCTAGCCTGGCATGCGACCCGCCACTGGCCCAAATGACAATCTGCAACCAAGGCAGGGCAGGCTGTCAACACCACCATTACCCCCCAACCGCACAGCCCCGGTGCCTTGTCCGTACCTCTCTGGACGTAGTGAAGGAAGGACTCGGCGAACCGCTGCCGCCCTGGTGACGCACGAGGCACCGTGTAGGGCTTGCGGCTCTCGGGGCTTATGGCATACCTGACTTAAAGTTTTTGCGCATCTCCGGCGCCCCATAGGTCTCAGTTGCAGAGCTGCAGCTATACACACCCAGTCAGGAGCTCAGCACAAACAATTGAAGTCTCCAAGCCCTCGTCTGCCTTCGGGGACGGTCTCAGGCCACTGCGGCTGTGTCCCGACCTCAGCTGTGGCTCAAAATGTGATCGTTAAAATGTGGCCCGTTGCTTTCAGGGCTACTATATAGTATATATAGTATATATATATATATATATAGTATATATAGTTTTTATAGGATATGTGCTTGTGTTCGGCTTAGCCTATGAAAGCTGCCCCTTCAAACTGTCGACTTCTGGTGCGGCTTTTGGCAACTCTTTCAGAGGTTTGGAGCTGCTCTTCTGCCCAAAACAAGCACCGTCATCGCAATGAACAAACTTGCAAAGTGGTGTGTGGAGCTTCTTTTGTGCTAGCGGCAGTTGGTCTTCCGTGCGGGGCCACGTTTCGGAACTTCTGCATGATTGCAAATAATAGGAGTACCGACTGATCTGCTTCCCAGCACGTGTTCAGGACCGTGTTTGCAGAATCCAGGCGACCAAAGAGAAGAGTTCTGACGCCGATTCTTGCTTGAAAGGGTTAACAGCATAACCTTCTTTTTCCACTGCTTGAGACCACTGCGCGAACAAACCCTTCGCCAAAATCCTGAAGCCCTATGCGCTACTAAATGCAGCCCCGAAAGCCCTAAACCCGAAACCAGACCCTAAACCCTAAAACCCTAAAAACCCTAAACCCCAAGCCCGAAACCCCCACGGCTTAGGGTTTAGGGAAACCATACCCTAAATAGCCGGTGAAGAGCTCTGGGTGTCGGACACAGACCGGAGCAACCCGGTGAACTCCTCGAGCCTTGCACTCCTGCGCAGATGCGACGAGGGCGGGGAGGGGGGGGGGTGGGGGGGGTGGGGTCTTATAAAATCTTAAAATTAAAAGGCAAGCTTCAAGCTTCCCTAAACCCTAAACCCCTGAACCCCAAACCCCTAAACCCTTAACCCCTAAACCCTAAAACCTTGAGATTTCTTGATTGCTCCCAAGAATGCAGAGTAGCACCTATGCAGCTCCGTGCCTCCAGGATGGTGCTAAAATCTCGGTAGACATGCTCCGGCTGCTCTTTGCTGATCACGCTGGGGCCGAAGATTTCCCCGCAGGACGCATCGAACATCAGGATTGTCCTGACATGCAGCTGGCATGCGAGGCAAGTTAAGTAGATCTCTATGCAATCAGTTCGGCAGGCATGCAGTCTGCGAGTTCATTGCTGGGTTTGTACTCAAGAAGACTCTGAGCAGTAGTGCAAAGGCAGCACATGCGGCAATCTATGCTTTGACAGAAGCATCATGTTTCAAGGCGGTCTGGTAGCCTGAATCATTGACATACGTGGAGCTTTGTCTCGGGCTGCCTACTGCAAAAGTCACAAGACCGGGTGGCCAGACAGGCAGAGGAAATAAAAAAGGGAAAGCGCTCTGGCAACGTCTATATGAGACAAAGCCGAGCATCGAAGGGCCGAGAACTCTGCAAATCGATGCGGCTGTCTGCACGCACCGCAAATATGGTGAGGAGACGACTACCTGAGTGACGTGTCAATTGAGTGCCACGGCAGAGCTTGTGAGCTTCAGCAGAACATGCGGATGGACACGCAAGATTCGCTTGATGGCCCTGCAGCCCTCCAGCAAGACATCCAAACTTTCTCATGGTCGCGAAAGCTGCTAAAACACCAAGAGCTGAACGGTGCTCAAGAAGTCTATCTCTCCGCAAGCAAGCCACATGAATCGTAGTGTCGTGCTGGTCCACAAAATTCTTGATGCTGTGAGCAGTTTCTATCGCTCCCGCCTCTCCATCATCACCTGACACGGCAAGGCGCCTTTGCCGATGATGTAATAGAAGCACTCTATAACCTATGGCCTACAGCACAGGAGCTGAACATAACATCACGCAGATGGAGTGGATCAAAAGGAATCGAGCTTGCACATCCGTGATATGTTCTGTGTCTCGGCATCAGGGCTTCGAACCCATGCACATCGAAAAGGCAAGATGACAGTCGTGTCTCCTGCATGACACTTCTACATCATTCGCTAGCCGTGCCACCAAATCTGCTGGAGCCTCAACGACAGTATGAAAGCTCGTGGGAGCCAATGTGCATCTAGGAGCAAGGTAAGACATGCCAGCTGTGCTCAGAGGGGGATCAAAGGGAAACTGCTCGTACTCCTCCGACTGCACGTACGGCGCGCCCCTGGCCGAAAGGAGACTTACTTGGCGGGTAGTGACAGGATTGCCCAAGGCCGTGAAACACCAAGGTGGGTTGTTCCAACGCATTCCTGCAGGTTCTCAGCCCAAGTGTGGTGTGACTTCGACCCTGCCCGCCTATACAAAGCATAGGACGCGTCTGCACGCTCGGCATGCCGAGCAACGCAACAAATCTGCGTTGACCGCAAGTACCTGCGTCATAGGAGCGCGGCAGTAGTTCTCGAGAAGGCATCATCCCTGGTCCCCCGGTCCAGACCATAACGGGTCGGTGAATGAAGGACAACAACTACACCTACATCGGTGACATAATCATAAACCTGCAAAGGAATGCATGATGATGCCTCTGCGTTGGCGTAAGGAGGAAGATTAAGGACGAAAAGTGGGTGAGGGCATGAAAGAGTCGGCTTCATGCAGCAACTGCATGAACTGCGAACAGCATAGGGAAAGGGGGTAGGCAACATGGCCCAATCGCACAGTCCTTGCCTAATGTCGGCAGTCGGGCAGGGTGAGCTAGGCTCAACCAAAAGCACCTGAGCCAATGATCGTAGCAGTAGACAAATGCTGTGACGCCTGACTTCGAATCATGACTCTGTTTTTGCATGGTATGTTCCGGACAAGCGCTTATCGAGATCTGAAAAGGCTTCGCGGCATGCCCAGTGCAAAGGCAGAACAGGACCACCACATCGTCAGGAAGTAGCGCTTTAGAGTTGTGAGCACGACCAGCGGAACGAGATCATGATCAATCTGCATTTTGCCAAGTTGCATCGCATTGGTTCATCATGATTAGCTGTACTCGGCGCAGGCCCGAAACTCCTGCGCTAAAGCTTCCATTCCGTCTAGGCTGGCCATCCTCGACGCTCCGGGACTGTAGGAATATCCTAGGCCGAATAAAAATACTTGTCAGATGTGACGGAACACTGTTCATTGATCTGAGCCAACATACTTCATAGAAGATAACGGGGTACAGCCTATAGCGCTCTCAACTAGCCCAGCCGAACGGCAAATCTAAGCTACGGCATGCTGAATCCTTAGCAGAAAGTCAAAAGCCTGAGAGCCTTCGAGATGCCAGGCTGACTTTTGCGCCAATTTGCAGATCCGAAAAGAGCACGTAACTCACCCTTCAGACCTGGTGTAAGCAAACATCGATGCTTGAAACTTAACTTCAATGTAGAACAACTGAAAGCAAGGCTAAGGCCTGTTGCTCAATGCTTCGCATTCCTGTCTCTTCAAGTCCCAAGCACCAACTTCTATCCTGAACCCGGGAACGACCAGGCGTCTCCTTAGTTTTGGCCGACCAAGTCCAACTGACTTCGTCGGGTGCGCCGCATGGCGCTATGGCATCTGGTGCCTTCTGGAGCCAAGATGTTTCGGCATCGAAGCCATGCAAACTCCTCGTCATCTTCTGGGCGCAGCACGCGATCTATTACAGTAGTTAGCTCTGTGTCATATGCACACACACACACACACATACACAGACGACTGCACAGGCGGGCATGCACGTTCACGTGCACGCCCCCTCTTTTTCAATACCTATGTCTTCCTGTGTAGGCTTCACCTTTTATTCTGGGCATTCTCAGAGCTCCCTTAATCCGTGGCCCGAACTGCGCCCGTCTCCTTCCTCGAGCCAACCTGGCAAAGAACGGCCCCAACGTCTGCAGCAATGACAATGAGCTATCAGAAGAACTGCTCTAACACGCAAACACACATGATGCAACAGAGTGGATCACTCGTAAGCGATAGCTGTCAACATCATCAGTGACTTTGCACTCATGCTGCTGTATGGAGGTCCCTTTGGTTGTTCTGCTGGCTAGTGCTGTCAGTATTGCGGCTGTGCAGTACTAGCTTTGTTTGCGCGATGAACATTCGGCCCTCATGAATAGGGCTTGCGCGTATAGTCAACATAGTCAACTTGCATTAGGCACGAATCCTCGCAAGTCTCTGGGCCAGCAGCACGCAAAGGCCCCGGGTGTATCGATTGGACGTGACAGAGACCATTCTTTGAACCTACATTCTGGCATGCTGACCTTGCCGCTTCGGTGCTACGGAACTGCGGAAGGATGCTAGGGTTGGAGACAAGGATAGTCCCCAAGGATGGCTTCGCGGTGAAGATTGTTCTGAAACGTGGAACGACCTTTTCTCTGTAGAATTGCACCTGGGGTGGTGTCAGCACAAACACAGCAACGTCATTATGATGGATTCTTGGTTTCAATTGTCGCACGCTCTGACACTTTCTCCTCTGAGGCACCGAAGCTGCAGCAAGGGAACAACCACTGTTGCATGGTGCAATCGCGGCAAGAAAATCCAGACCAACGTTTCGGAATTGCCTCCTCGAAGCGGCTCTTTCCTTTGGCATCTGCTTCCGGCACAGCGACAGCTGTGGCTTGGGCATTGCAGACATAGCAACGGCATGATCTAAATGTCACATGCTGGATGGTGATCACAGCTGCAGCCCTATCCAAGCTGTCCATATTGCCTGAAGCTGGAAACTGCGGCTTTCACAGGCCGCAGGAGCGATGCCTTGCTAACCGATCAAATCATACTTCGCAAACCCGAGGCTTCGAGCTCATGAGTACCTTGCAGTTTCTCTGGGGACACCAAAACTCAACCTAGAGACCTAGAGCTCGTCTGCCTGGGCTGCAGGGTGCTTAAAAGCTTTTTTTGAATAGGGCATGGTTGCTGTTGAAACAATGCGGCACAGGAAGCATGGACGCCCCCATCCCCATCCAAACACTCTGCTGTGCTATCGAGTAATAAGCTGGGACCGACAGCTTTCAGTCCCTGTTTCCTCTGCCATGAAGCTAGGCTTAAGCGGCCAGGTGCCCTTATCAAGGCCGGCTCATGAGCCAAGAGCTCAGTCGATTGCTGATATCTCAACTCAGTCAGCTTGCTGACAGCTACTCACGCATAGTTCAAAAGTGCAAGGAATATATGGCTCTCCGCCATTTAAATACAGCCTCGGAATTGACGTAAGGCACTTCACCATCTTCAATGACGATGAACAAACACCCATTCCTGCCCGAATGCTTACAACCTCGGTAGGTGAACGACTGGCAGCAACTTCAGAGTAAGTTCGTCCACCTTAGATAGAACCTTGCCCGTTGCAAATCCTCGCCACTCCACAGCACGTGACACATGTACTCCCCAATGACGGCAACAAAGTGCCTGGAGGCCAGACTCCGGATGGACACTCTGTCCAACTGCAGCATGCTTTGCTCCTTCTTTCCGTTCAAGATGGAGCAACAGCAAAAACAGCGGCTCATAGCGGTTCCAGCTACATGGCTGCATGAAGCTGGGTCGGAAGGGCTAAAGCCTGTCTGCTGCAGCTTGAGCGAGCTCACCCGTCTGCCTTGCCCAAGGTCATCTCTGTACTCACCGGTAGTTCCTCGGCAATCATTTACTAACAAGGAGTCGCAGTCCTCCTGCCCGCCGCTACAGAGTCCGACTCGAGCTAGCCGAAAGTTACTAATGCCTCCACTGCTTCTGCCATAGGTTTAAAGCTCCCTTTGCCGCGCAGGTCTCGGATTGTTGGCATCGAAGCCCAGGTCTGTCACAGCCATCTTGGAAAACTTCTTCTTCTCCTCGCAAGCAAGGCGCAGATTATGGGAGTAGTCGTCGTCGTCGTCGCCGTCGCTGCGGTCGTGGTCGTGATGGTGGTGGTGGCGGCCGTGGTAGTGGCAGGCAAACAGCTTTGATATTGGCTGTGAACGCATCTAAAAAGGCTTTGTATTTCTGTTGCGAAGCTAAGCACAGGCGCGGTCCTTCTTTTTGGGCTGCGGGGCTGCCACCTTCTTCGTGTTGCTCGGCACATGTGCTGCCTCGACCTGTCTGTCATCGAGAGCCAATGGCAAAACTGCATCTTTAGTTCTACAATAAGGAAATACCAAACACCATCGAAGGAATCACAATGGCCGTACGAGTGCCGGAAGTTCTACCTGTCAGCTTTCTGCGCACGCGGGAGCCACGGGCTGAGACGAAAGCTCAACAAAGGACAGGGGGCGACACAGGGAGAGACAGACGACATGCACTCAAATACTTGAATTTCGAGAACTCGACGAAATGCCGATGTGAGGAATTGGACTCACAAGCAATGTTGCTACCGAATCCCAAACAGTAGATACTGTAGACAATGCAGTGCACAAACGCTCTTGAAAGGAGCTGGACTCAGAAGAACTCGCATGTCAGTGTTGACTGCTGCCCGAGATGTGCAAAGATTCTTGAGACTCTGTTGAATCTGTCGAAGCCAACATCAGCTGCTTCATGGGAAGGGATCAAGCGAAGTCCTGCAGCCAGCATCATCCCCCTAGAATCCCAGGCTCACGTTGTGAGGTTATGAACGAAGCTCCCCGCTCCGGGGGAGCTTTGCAAAAGAAATGTCAACTCCATCCACTACCTGCAAAGATGAACTGCAATCCTCGCGCATCCGAAACCTTGGCCTGAGCGCCGGATTGAAGGAAAAAGTGGCAAGAGTCTCAAAAGCTCACAGATTCTAAGAGTTCCTTTGCGGAGATCGTGCCTGTGCAGCTTCCTGCAGCGAGGGGCCCTCCAGCCCCTCGGCCACGTGCCTGGGCCGGAGAGCGGGCTTCACCCCTACAGTGGCTTCGTGTTCCTGCTAGTTCTCATGTCTAGTACTGTTCATTTGGTGCTGGCACCACTGTTATAGAACATAGTTTAGAACGGTCATGTACTCTCCACTATACTGTAACATATGCTAACATAACGCGATATAACCTGATATAATACAGTAAGAAAGCACAATATAACGCAACATAATGTAATCTCATCTCATATGATATCATTACAATACGTAATTACAACGCGATGACTGTACAAGAAACGATAGGATAAGAAATGTAGGGGCTACCTCAGCCGGATAGCACCAAGAAGCCGAAATCTTAAAATGCCTTCTAGCTAAGAAATGAAGGGTACCCATTTCTTATTTCGGGGGGTTTCCACGTCCCAACCCTAGGGCGTGTGGATTCCAAGCCCTAAGCCTAGGGCACACGGCAGGAGCCAAAACAAGAAATGTAGGGGCCTACGTTTCCTATTTTGGGTGGTTTCCAAACCCTCAGCCTAGGGCACACGGCAGGAGCCAAAACAAGAAATGTAGGGGCCTACGTTTCTTATTTTGGGTGGTTTCGGCAGCAGCCAAAATAAGAAATGTGGAGGCCTACGTTTCTTATTTTGGGTGGTTTGCAAGCCGGCAGCTCCGCAACTATGGTGCGTCAGCTGGCGTGCCATGAAGTGCTCGCAGTTGCATCTAGACACTAAAAACTAAAGTGTACTGTAATACTGTCTTGGCGGTGTCTGTCTCGCCTAATGGTGAAGGCCTTTGGCTCAGTCGACGGACTTCCGTGGGCTGGAGCCCCGGAGAGGAAATGGCTAAGAAACGAAGGGTGCGCAACGATTCGAGTGCTGAGAAATACGGAAACGCGAAACCAAAAAGAAGTTAAGACATGAAGAGTACCCAACGCTGGAAGCTGGCATTTCTTATCCAAGAGACGCACTGTAGATATCCTACATCGGCTGTCTTCGGTAACTTCAGGGCTGCCTTCTGCCTGTTGAAGACGTTTGCTCTTCATGGTAGGTATATCCGGGAGATCGCCCTTGATCACGTTCATCCCAGCTGTTGGCAAGATGTGAGACAAGATCTATGCATGCTCAGCATGTGATGTGCTTCTGCTGCTTCTGGCATTTGAAGTCAGCGGCTACTTCGCGAAAGATCTCCCTTCATTCCAAGCCCCTTCTTCAGCTCAGTTTGGCCGAGTCGCGCATCTTCTTCGTCGACAGCCGAGTCCGCCGAGCCCCATTTGTTCTCGATGACAATCTGCGAGCATTCCGTGACTTGGTCGCATTCCCCCTGCTTCTCGGCGTGCTACCAATCTCAGTGTTGTCATGAATCTTACGTACCATTCTGTGCCACTTCAAGTACTGACACAATGATGCATCAAAGTGCATTTGCTACTCCTTGCTGTCCTAATTGCTATCTTGCGAACTCCGGGAAATCTCATCTCGAAACCCTGGCCCTCAAACCTGAACTCTACACAAGTTTCCTGGAGCCTGGAACCCAACCCTAAACCCTAAACCCTAACAAACACTCAGAGCCGCGACCTTCTTCACCGGGGCCTTGGTCGGAGCTGCAGCCGAAACCTTTGGCTTCGGCTTAGGCTCCGGCGTCTGGGCCGGGATGTGAGGCCTCAGTACAGGCGGAATCGGGAGCTATGTGGGGGTTTCCGAAATCAGGGACCCTACTTACTATGGTACACTAAATAGTAGGATCCTTATTATAAGGAGCCCAAAGTAAGGTACCCCTTATTTTCGGAAACCCTCATGTAGTTTGTATGATGAGGCTGTTGATACGAAAAAGAAGAAACGCTTGAAGAGGGCGACAACGACTACGACGAAACACAGTAACACCAACGGCAGAGACAAGGCCGGGAAAACCTCCACATACAAAAACAAAAGATTGAACAATCGCCGCACTCTGTAGCTCGACGCCAAAATGCACGACACTCTTTTTCGTCGTGTGGTTAGATGCGCTGCCGCGCTGTTCGGCGTGCAGGCGCAGTCTCAGCAGCCGGCGCCGGGCGCGTACTTTTAGCACCGGCCCGCTGCGAGCTGCCCGCCGCCGA